CCCCATACGCTTAATATTTCGTACCCATGCGGCGGTCTCCACGATATTGTGTTGAAGGCGCGTGCGTGGCTTATCCTACAAGAGCTGCTCCATCTTGATCAGCTTCATCACTCCCATTCATACATTGAAGCGAACCTGTTTCACGAAGTTTCGATATAGCATTGTGCCTAAGTAGATGGGCAGACAATGACTTTAAGTCTATTTACAAGTTGCCATTTACAAGTTATTATTTTAGTAGTAGGCAATTAGGCGCTGTTCGGTTTGAAGGGGCATGTTGTACTTTCTTTCACCCGTCCCGTTCCTTTTGTTAGTTCATTTTCATCACTGTCCGATGCGATATTGATCCAGAGGAACGAAGTGGGCAGTAGATACCGGTCATTAGATACTGGTTATGCCGCGAACTGGTCCGAGGATCGCGACTAGGAAAGCGCCTCTCCCCGTTGAGTCACCTTTCATTGAAAAGAAGGTTTCAGAAACGAATTGCAGAAAGTCCCGGTAATTGTTCATGTTCTGGTCTTGCATTCGGTTTTAGAAATTGTTCCGGTTTCACCCATGTTATAAATATGGCAGGGCATCAACTGGATAATTTCGACCGTAAACTAAAGTCATTCTTGGACATTCGGTATCTTTCGGCTAATATTGGAGAACGACGGTGGGCCGTCCCCAATTTTCTGGGTACTATAACACTAATTGGCGCAGTTCAGCGACGGAGGGAGGGGGGTGCGCTTCGCACTTCCACTGCCTCACTAGTTCCGTTTACAAATAGCACCCTGGTGAAACCCGTGAATTCCTGTCAAGGATCGTTGAGCCACCATGATGAAATTTGTCGACTCTTGTAACATAAAATAGCCCTTTGAATGGCTCAACAAGTCGATGGGTAGTAGTAAAAGTGTAGAATGCCCCTCCCCAACGTTGCGAACTGTGCCCCTTCATTTTGCTATTCCATCAAAGGAAAGAATTCACGGTGAAAGGCGGCCGTGGCGGCGTATTTTCTACCAGGCAATCATTAGATTATCCTTCCGTTGGAAATGTTACACTTTTTCGTTTATCAGTGAGTAGGAAGCTTGTCTGATGTGAGCAAGCTTTGATCCACGCATGTACGCTCCTGCCATCTTTTGCCGTTGCGCCATCATTTTCTTGACTCAAATGCAACGACACGATGGCTGGGGCGGGCAGTTATAGCTAACGCCATTGGTGGAAGGGCTGAGTGGGGTGTGGTCAGACGCAGCCCTTCCACCAATGACACCGGCGGCTTGCCACCAGCAATCGCGCCCACTGCCTTTAAAGACATACTGGGCACACAACCTGCGTTTATCCTGGCTCTTGCCGTGTTGGTAAAACGGGTCCACAATAGCAGCATCACGTCACTCTCCGGCACGGCCAGTCGGGCATCATGCCATAGCCAAGCGCGCTACTAGTCTACGCTCTCTCCAGTTGTTCTGTATCACGAAGTGCGTATTTCGCTGCGGGACTTGGCATCGATGCAAGCGCTGCATCTTGAGGATAGCGCGGGCGAAGTACGGAGACGATACTCGGGTACCACTACCGACCAGCTACGCTCCCGTGCCCTTCCGAGCGGAGAAAAAGGCACGCTACCAACTGCGGACCCATTTCATCTCACACATGGCAAAAATGTCCTCGATTTGAGTTTGCAGTCTATATTTGCTAGCTCTCGACCCGGCATCCAGATAATTTAGATTCTTTCAGGGATGCACCATCGTAGCGAAGGTGATGACAAAGGCGTGGATGATCCCAAAGGTTTCACACGATCTGTCATTTGCCCTTTGTGACTACTTGAGGGAGAAGATGTACCTCGACGCACTCATCAAGCTGTTCATTGGCCCAACCACTTGTGAACCAGGTTTGTCTACCTACTTTTTGCGAGCCCAAACTTTCTTTGGGTCATTGACAAGTTCCAGTTCGATTAGCCTGCGGTCGAGTACTAGAGGAGTGCATGTCGTTGAACAATAGGGAATATATTGTGAATAAGGTGAGATGAGTGATAGCTTTTTAAACTTTTGAGTAACCTGCCATCAATGTTAGGGAGCCTTTGAGGCTTAATTACAAGAAATCTCAGGGCTGGCTGAAAAAGATCATTTCGATGGCGATGAAGCTCAATAAGAACGCCGAACAGCAGCGGATGAGCCTCAGCATTATGGAGAGCATGTTCAAGCACAGTTCGAGCACGTCGATGAAGTGAGTCCTTTCGAGGATTTCTGGCACATTTCCAAGTTTTCCAGGAAACTCTAGTGCATTTATGGTGAGTGTCCCGATCAAACGTGCTACAATGTGTTTCCATACAAATATAGGGATCCACTCAAAATGACCAGGAACGATCGTTTTACAACGCCGCGGGATTTACACACGTTGCCGCGCGCGGTCGCGTCGCGCCGCTCAAAACACAAGCCGGTTAGCTACACTCTATTGGTGAGGTTCATATCCTTTTTGGGGCGCTTTAGCAGCATGCCCTTACTAACCGGGTAAAGTACTCCGGTACTCGGAGTGGTTAAACAAACCTACCTTAACAACACAAAGTATCCGCGCAGCAGCTAACGTCACGAAAATGGCCCCAGACTAAAGAGTTGAGGTTATTTCAAGCAGACTGGTAATACATAAAGCAGTTTACCCTTCAACTTTCTGACGACTAGTGCTGTTCGGATTGGAGGGGCATTTTGCTTTTCCGCTACTTTTTCTTGTTACTTCATGTTAAATAACAGGTCCAGCTTTGGCGAGACCTGGAAAGTCTTGTGAAGCAGCTAAACGTTGAGAGTGAAGCACTGTGGTTGCAGGATCACATGTCTTGACAAGGTGGTCTGACAGCCTTAGCTAAAAACCAATCGCCGCCCTCACCAAGCCAAATTGCGATCAATAATTTATAGCCCACTTATGGGGTCTGAGGTCTGCCAATGATCTCCTTTTGCACCTAGAATCCATTTGACGAAGTTGTGAACATAACTATTTAAATAACTGAATTATAAAGTAGTTGCACAAGTAAGGTTCTCCTACCCTTCTGAGAAAAGAAACTCCGGAAGATCCATAATGCTTCACCTAGTCCGCGATGATCTTCTGGGCGGAGCCTACGTGTCTTCTTCGCTAGTGCGGTCCTTTTTCAGGCGATAAAAAGGACGGACACTGCACTGAGGTTGCAATGATTGTCTGTTCCCCTCATAAAAATAGAATGGTCTCTGCTTTCAGATTTTTGATCATTTATTATTAGCATCAAAGGTCTTTGGCACTCGTCTATTTGACGTTGATAGCAGGATAAAGTGCGCGTTTTGCACTATGATTTATTGGTTCTCAACACCAATTCCCCTTCGATTGTCAACTAAAAATATTTCTACCACTGCTAATTATTATTACCTATCAGTTTTGTGTCCGTAAATCGATCCTTTTGATTGTCAATTAGAAATATTTATAACATTACCAAATTTAGACTAATCGAGTATGGCGTCTTGGATCACATCATCATTACCAGTAAGCGTGCCATGGACACGCCCACAACGCTACGCCATGCCGCTCTCGGTTTAGCCAATCTCACGCTGTATACCTGCTCAGAAGGTAAAAAGAAGCTCATTCAGAAAAAGGTATGCTCCGCCTCTTTTTTTGGGATGAAATTGTTGAAATAAGTGAGAATTTTCAGTTACCGGAATGGTTATTTCTGTTGGTGAACCAAGACGACGATCTCACACGATATTACGCGAGTTTAGCTATCTGCATGTTGGCCAGTATAAAGGTTGGTTTTTTCTGATGCGATGCGGCTACGCGGCGCACCTACGTAATACGCCCCACATCCCCAGCTAGTCTTGGAACTTCTTTACTTCATCAATGACCAGCGACAAAAAAATGGCGCAGTTCGGCTTGGTGGGGGGGGTCACCGAGTGGTACTCACTGAACTTGAACAGGACCCACTCCCTAAAGACTTGCAACTTCCTGTGAACAAGGTTTCACACTAGAACAATTTCTCCGCTTCACAAGGGCTTACAGGTCTGACCAACGTGAGGCTTGTTAATTGACACGAATTAACAAAATTAACTAGCACAACGAAATGCCCTTTCCAAGGCGAACAGCGCCCAAAAATCATTCGAAGGGAAGGGGGGGGGGTGTGGGGGAAGCGCGTGGGGACGAGCCGTAAGTTCAGTCGATGACCGCGGACAGCTCTTTGCGGTGTAGTTCAGTCACTACATTTTATGAAATCCTCCGTGACAAGCCCAGAGTTGACGCTGACGTGCTTCGACGCGTGTCGTCGCTGAGTCTGAACGCATGCTTACTCGCTATTATCCTTCTTTCAGAATTCGCATTGATCGTATGGGCGGAGACATTTACCCATTGTTACCACCTTTCTCTTCTTTATCGTGCTAGGATCGGCAGAACAACGGAGTAATCGGGAGGGGAAGGAAAGAGGTTGACTATCTTAACCTTGTCTCCGCCCATCCAATCATCGTGGACTGTAATTTGGAAGTGCTCATCACCTGGCTGGATCATTGATTCCAATAAGCTGTGCGCACTTTTAATAACCCTTTGGTTTGCCGAAAAACGGACCTAATGTCGCATAACATCTTATCGCGATGTAAGCGCGCTTGACCCTTACCGGTACCTGTTATTTATGAGAATAACGAAGAAGATACTGATCATTAGTAGGTGATGGAAATGTCTTGTAATGAACTAATTATCTACTAGTTTTTCAAACAAAACCTTTTCAGGAATTCGAGTCAGCTGTGATGAAATCTGATACACTGAAGTTGGTGGAACCTTTTCTGCTCGCTCACGATGCCACTACCTTTGCCGGCGATCATTACAAGCATTCACAGGGACATCCGAAAGAGTGGTTGAGCAGGTCAGTTCAAGTTCTCCAGAGATGCTTTTGCTAAATGATGCTGGTCATCAGTTTTTTCCACAGTCTATATCGTCAAAATCGGTCGGGGCGGTGCCAGCAAGCATTAAGTGAGTCCACCCTCCGCGTTTCCTTTCTGGTTTTTCTTTCTCATACAATGCTTGCTGGCAGGTTCTTCTGTTAGAAAACGAGGGCGGGCTCGTTTCTCGTCTCGCTGACACAAGCCCCGACTCGATTGCGCCGAGTGTCAGCTACACCAACAGGAGGGTATGTGACAAGAGGGTCGTAATTTGCGACCCAGTAATGAGTGTCTACGATGACGGGGTCTACATGAAGTCCGGTGCTCATTCGACAGGTTAAAACGAGTTATGAAAACGCCGCGCCCATCGCCGCGCGTGGCGGTGCGGCGAATTACGATCCTCTTTACCGTCTCCCCGCCCAACAGAGAAGCGTATGAATTAATTGATCTGAATGGTTTTGTTCCCGTTCCCCGCTGCGTTCCACTTTTCCGGGTTCCGTGTTTCATATCTATGCGCACTTTTTTTTGGTTTTCGTGTGGTTACCTACCGCTTTTTGGCCGTTGGCACGCAACATTGCCTACGGTTGGCCTGTTGCCCCTCAGTTGGGCTTATGGCGTAAATTTTGGCTTCTTGGGTAAGTTCATTCTAGTAGCATACTGCAGGAGGCGGGTCAAAAAGGGCAGAAGTTACCCTAGCGGTGATAATCAATACCTGAGAACCCTCGTCCCGGAGTTCTAAAGTAGTGCATCTTGGTAAACAAAAAGACGTCCTGCCGCCGGGGAAAACTTTGGAGATCCTCCGTCCCCACCAGTTCCCCAATGCAATGTGGATACTGCCCGTTACAACACCGACCAAATCCTTGCCCCTGGGGATTCCCCAACGTACGACGTGTCCTGACTGAAAGTTTTCCGGAATCATTCTGTGCGAGCTGGTGAAGGTACGCCTCCCAGTTGACTCCACTTTACGATTTTCGTGTCTCGATCTTTCAAAGAACAGACACGAGAAGATCTCTTAACCCGAAGAACGAAGCCAGTCAACAATAGCCATGTTTTTCTTGAGCTCTGGTCCACCCTAGACAATTGTTCGGTGATCACTGGTGGCAGACAGTCAGTTGTCACAAGTGGTCGTTTGTCGTAGCTGGTTACGATGACACATCCCTGAAGTTTACCACAGTGTTTCTTCAAAGACAACACCTCCTGCCCGATGCCGCACATTTCCGATTTCCCGACTCCACGGTCTCGAAAGTGCCAAAGCCCCCCTTTCACTCTGTAATATTTGGCTCATCATTCGCAGTTATCATAGTCAAATCCTTAAAAGCTTTAGGAAGAGAATGTTCTCAGAACTTTACCCTGGTAGTCTCCGAGTGCAAAGGGCATGTCTCAAGTTCTGCAAAGCTCCGACCACCCAGTGACTTGTTCCTCAGGCCTTTTCGCCCCTCCCATTTAACTGAATCAGCTGTGAGGGTGGCCGCGGTTTGCGTGCAGTTGCAATTCGTTCACAGCTGTTACGGCGAGAAAACCTTCAGTGTTGATCGACAATGTTGACCCACGAATTGATGTATACCGCCGGTTATGAGTCACCCAGTTGGTTTTCCCGAACTGGACAAATATAGCCCTCTTCGTAGTGCTTAGTCATGGTCAGCACGCGACTTGAAAAGGCTACCATTTCGGGGCGAGGGGAGGGGTCGCAAAAATCCGAAAAGCTAGGAATGGAAAAGGGCATGGAAGACAGTGCTCCGACTGGGGGTAATCGACGCCAATCTCGGACAACTTAGTACGATGGAACTGTAGCACTTCCCGGAACAACACCAACGACGCCTCACCAGAAACGCGGCCTTCCTGGTAGTATCAAATGAAGCCTGCAACCCCGCGCTATCCAGTCTCCTGGGAATAGAGAGTAGTTGGGGTCAGGGCACATCGTAGGTGAGGGGTTTTCCTGCGAGAAGGACTGGGTCGTAATTGCCTTTGAGAAAAAAACGTATCGCGTTTGTTGATTTTACCTGGTATATCTCAATGTAGCAAAGTGTTAGGTAGGAGATGCGGTAGGGGGAGGAAGGTCCAGAGATGGACATTTTTGAGGGGGGGGAAGCAACTTCAACATAAATTTTCCCAAGCGCAACATCGTGCCCGCTAACCTGTGCTGGGAGTAAGCTTCGTAGCTGCAGGACAGGGTCAAATCGCTGTGCCACTCCCTTATATTCCTGACCCGCACGTCTCCACCTGATTCCCACTAGGAGGAATGCCATTATCACAGGGATCTCTTCGCTGAAGGAAAATGGTGTCCCTGGCAATGCCCACGAGTTCAAAGAAATCTTGAAGGTGCCTTTAAACTAACGAAACATACATAAAAAGAAACTACAGCAGAAAAACAAACAAAAGAAGAAAGGACGCGTGGAACTGGAGCTCTTAATAGGGGTACCTCTAATTAGTAACACCATCTTTTCCTTAGGCGGCAAGTTCGTGTGAACTTCATGCATTGAATAGGATGGAGAAGGCAAAAAGCGCCTGGAGATTGCCCAAGCTGATGACCTCGTGCCACGGTGTGCCGAACAAAGGGAATAAATGCTGGTTGATTTCGATTACGTGCATGAAAAAGTCGGTCTGTAATGAAGGCAAATGAACGCGATGGACTGGTTTCTGATGTCCCATAAGTTCACAGGCTCTCAGCGAATGACTGCCATATTGCTTCAGCTTCCTGTGCCCAGGTGGGGACATCATTGTGAACTGTATCTTTGCCCTACAGCTGAACAGAAGGAACCGAATGGGTTCATACAGTACAGCTGGCTTACAGTTCCTCCCATATCAGATACTTTTAGTCCTAACTTACACATCATTTGGTTGAATGAATAGTTATAGGAACGGAACCTTCCCAAATTTCTGCGAAAATGCATCGAAATCCAACCCTTTCGGGGATCGCCAGATAAGTTGCGGCATTGGCTAAAGTATCGAAGGTCAAGTGGACGCAGCAAGTTCTCACCAGGAACCACCAAATGGGACGAGTTCTGACCCAAGTTCATGAGACTTTGCCCTGGCGACCTCCGTGTATGTGCTCCTTCACTGAGACACGTGAACGAAAGTATCCGAAGAGGGGGCTCTAAGTGCCTTCGGTAGGACCACTCTCCGGCTGGGCTTAGCAGGTCATGTTGCAACGCGACAGGGCACATCGCCCATTGAGAATCCCCAACGAGGGGGTCGTATTTGGTCGGCGGAGGGGAGGTTGAGCTTTCTTGATTTTTCCCGTTTCAATCCAGTTTCGCTCCCCGTCCACTCCCCCGATGAATTTGTGGGGGAAACTGGATAAGGCAGGAAAGTAGGAATTTTGAAAACTTAGGACAGTGGTAGGTAAGATGTGGAAAAAGAAGGGAGGATGTCGTACCAGGGGAGAAACCTTTGCGAAGGGGGTCGTGTTTTGCGAAAATTTCTCCCAACCGCATGACGTGTCCTGAGCGCGACAGAGCCACGACTGCCTGTCTGTCTAGGAGAGGGAGAATGACCGCCATTGACCGGATCGTTTGAGAACATGTCCTGCCTTGGGCAGAGGGTGCAAACATGACGGGTGTGTTAGACCATTTTAGCGTGGTCCCTCCCGATGCACGAAGCAGCTCCATGGGTCCTCTTTTGGTAGGTAAGGAGACCCCTAAGCAACGGCCCCTTCGCTTCAACATTGAACGAAAAGTAATGCAAGAAGGGTGTAGTCACATGGAAGGACTGAGTGAGCTAAACTGACCTACAGCTGAGCCACAGTGGCATTACTGACGCCCAGACGAAGAGGAGATCAGCTGTTGGGGTGACAGACACCATTTCCACTCATGTAGTTGAGCAGACTCAGCACAGCGTACATGAGGATCTCACAGCCGCACTCAAATCGCTGAGCAGAGGGGTCATTTGACCTGCCAAGAAACCCACCATCTCGTTCGAACTGTTTTTCGGGGAATTAGAAGTAAGGAGGTGAGTGAAGAACGCTGAGGTTGAAGCGGAACGTGACGGGTAAGTGATGAGAGAAGAACAAAGGCATTCGAGGAATTGTTTTCCTGTCATCACTATATTTTACACTTCGGTTTCTGATGCTCCTCTTTATACAGTCGTCACTAAAAGCGACAGAAACAGTAAACATTCCTTGATAGGCCTTCGATCCGATTAAGGTCCGCACAATTTTGGCAGTCGTGTGATTCGCGACTGATTACAGCCTTGTGACAGTAAATCGCCGAAGTCAATCAAACTAGCTGTAGTGATCCTCCAACTAATATCAAGCTAAACGACTAGGACCATTCAGGTGTTAGGAGTAATTGGAAATATAGGAGGAGGTGGTGAAAATCCAGCTGGAGGATACGGGACAATGAGCCGCATCGATGGATTTAAAGCCAGTTTTGAGCTTCATCTGATCAAGTACTCCCCCCCCTCCCAAGAGCGCTCTCTCTCTATTTAAGATCGCTCGCGACTTTCCGGATTGCTAATAACCTTAATCGGACCAAAATTTCGGGTGAGGTGTGCAGTACTTCATGAACACGATTTATTTTGGATTTGAAAAAGAAGATATTTGATTACCACCGCGAATATCTATTAAGGATTGGGGACCATCCGTTGTTCTCGTTTCTATTTTCAGTGATAAGCCCACTACCCTCACAGGGTTTTAGTATATTTACCAAACCAGGAAAGCATTTGAATTCACAGTCCAAACTGATCGCATAGGCGGAGTCAGGCTCTCCAATGTGCTACTTTTGGCATGTTCCGATCCCTAAGCTAGCGGAGAAAAGAACCCGCTGATGGGGGAGTCTTACTAGTTACTAACTGCTCAGAAAGGCCTACTTCAACCCAAAATGTCAGTACCGAAAAGCGCAGATGCGGGAGAGTAGCCCCTGAACGCATTCAACTGAAATTGAATGGTTCCACTTGAGAGTTCGTTTCAAACAAGCCTGCTATAGGTCAGTACCCTCACCAAGTTCTATGACTAGATTTACTTTTCAGGGAAGCACTTAGAAAGCATTCAGCACAGTCCACGCTAGTCACATGGGCGGGGTCAGGCTAAGCTATGTGCAATCTCTGTGCGCTCCTCCTTTCTAAAATGGCATCCTGAAGAGCTTCGGAAATTTCAAGGCTACTTCAAGTGGAAGACAGTCCGTTTATTTAACCCGAAATGGAAAAGTCAAAAGCACTATATAGGACGAAGTAAGAAGTTCAAAAGTGGTTGAAAATATGGACCGAGTAGAATCTCAGTGTTGAAAATATCCCGTTTCAGACTCCTCCCCATGCTAAAATCGATGCGACGAGAAGCGAAAAGTATGGCAGCATTTCATTTTGCGATGGAGGCAGCCATAAAGAAAGACCAAAATAAACTCGACGTCTTCCAGGTAAACTTTCCGGTTGTGATTTCTGCCTGCCACGCTTGCTGTCGCTGTGCTTTCTGCACTTTGTCGTGTGGCGCCGCAACGTGTGCTGTGGCCGGCCCGATCACAGTCAGGTGCTCAAATTACACTGACGCGCACGGCGACTACCCGCTAGCCACCACTTGAATTCGCTGAACCTAATGGAAGCTGCTCCCGTATCACTATCTGTCAAGCAACGACGCGTCAGGCCCCTTTCGTTGGGCGCGCGTTGTTTTTAAAGACGGGGTTGTTGACAGACGATTTATGATCACCCAGCGGGCGACAACTGGCGGGGTGGGGGGAATTCCAACCATTGAAAGACACGCTGATCACGTGCAGACGACGAGACCGGTTCACTACAGCTATTTTTAGTCGACGATCTATCAGCGGAACCTTCCCATACGCACAGGTTATAAGATTTCTTGATTAATCGGTTGTTTATTACGCAGTGAAGGTGCGATGCATAACCTGATAGTCTGCCTACTGCGCAGACAAAGTTCACAAGCAAAAATAGATCCCAGGATTTTTAATATCAGCTGAAGGACACTGATTCAACACGATTTCTGCGCACTTAGATACCGTCACAAGACTGGACCTGTACTTCCAAACCGAAGCGTAATCGGGCTGGGACCTCTCCATATGCCTCTTATAAATCGTTTCTTTCTCCCTGCCAGGCTATCACCGTGGTCCTGTAAACTGGGGCTAGCATTCCGAATAGAAGTGCAATCCCCTACATCCCTTGACCATTTCGGGAGCTTTTGGCTCGAGCAAAAATCCTATACTCCGCTGCGATTCCGGCCCCCTCACCACGAACCCTTGTAGGTATCCCCCAATCTTAAATGAAGAACTACGCGACCTATGTAAGGACCTATGAAAATGCAAAAGACTGTGTGGGAAGGGTGGTGTGGTGCGCAGTGGACATCACTGTGAAAATTTTGCGGCGGAAACTTGTGAGGTAAAGTCGAGGCGCGCAAAGTTCCTCCTATGACACCTCCCTTTCCGTAACTCCGCCCCCAGACTCCCCATTCAAAAATGTCCCGCGGCCGAAACGAATGGCACGGGTATAAGTGGCTTGAAGTGGATGCTCTAATGTCTCTAGGGGGTCAGAAGGTTCATTGCAAGAAATCAGTAGACTGGTCTGGTCCTTGTACGCGGGGCCTCTTACCTGTACGATTGTTTGAGATTAGACGACGCCTGAGTAAAAGCGTTGCGTTATCCCCTTTGGCATTTTCCCTTCACAGGCAATTCGCCTGGCATCTTCTCTTCCATATTTCAACACCTTCAACACCTACGTCCTTATCGCGGACCATGCCTTTAATAGCGCTGACAGAAGTTTACGACCGAAAAAAACTCGCTGTTCTTATGAAGGTCACCCTGGTCGGACTTTACCCTAGTCCACCATCTCTAAGACACTCCGTTCTGTTATTATGGTCGAAATGGTTCTCGATACCACACAGCGTTCCTTGGTAATGAGTGTTAGGGTGGAAAAACATCGCCTGTCTGGCCCAGGACGGTGCTGGCATAGTGATCTTTGTTCAACGTCCTGAACTGGTTGAATCGCCTGATGTACTGATTGTTAGTACGATATGCGACAAGTACAAATAATTTGGCCTGAGTTCGCTTGGTGCTAAAGTGAAAAAAGTGTTGGTGGGAGGGAAACCCTTCCTCGATGTCCAACTCTGATAGACGAAATCTGGGTGAGCCCAGAAAAGCTGATACGGGAAGGCTGCTTACCCTGGAATGTGAGGCTCACATTTCAAGTGGTGAGAATGACGCCAAAACGATTTTCCCCTCGTCCTGAAACCGCAAGTCTATTCAGGTAAGTGTTGCGAAGTCTAGGGGGGGGGGGAATGTTATGGTAAGAACCTCCGGGACACCATTTCTCCTCCTAAGTGACGCAGTTGGGACATCCTTTCTCAGTAACTTCGGGTTACCCGGAAATTCAGTGACCATGAAATTGAGCTTACGCCAGTTCTGCCATCCAGATCGTCCCAGGCTTACCCAACCCATACAGTGTGAATCACGTAGACGGCAAGGGTGGTCGGCTGAGGCTCAAGGTTGGGCGTTTAACGCTTGAAACGCCTTGCCTTTGTACTTCCAATAGCTCTGCAGGGGAATTCTCTCAATCCTGGCGCTACTATCAGCACTTTCCAGCTGGGATACCCAAACCCAGGGCAACCTTGATTGTCCCTTTCCTGGTTGGAGTACCTATTTTGATTGGTGTGGCCCTGAACTCATCCCCGTGCAAAGCATAGCACACCTATGAGTAAGATTAGACCTCTGAGTACTTCCTACGAACAGTACCGGTTTGCGATTTTTTCTCTGATAGTTTCGTAATAGAGGAACTTTCGGGATTATTATAAAAACCTCAAATGAGTCAAAGCCATGAGTCAGTAACCGTAAATAGCAGGTGGCCTGTTTGATGTGTTTTTGTGGACCACCTGTTTAAATCTTAGAGGGATACCATGGTGAT